TCTACAGCATCAATTAAGCGCGCGGCATAACAGGAGGGCGAATGTGTAGAAACACACGCCGCGCCGGGGTAAGTGTGCGGAATCACCAACTAAGCAGCAATCAGTAAGTAACAAACTGACACGGACAGCGACGGGGGGGGGAGAAGCTTTTGGAACAGATATATTTAAGGAGAACAAGCAGATCCAGGTAATGCAATTTAAAAGAGATAAAAGTCTTCTGGTAGGACTGTCCTTTAAAAGGACACTTTCCTTCGTTCAAGTGTCAACCCCAATCGCAGCAAGGTCACCCCGCTCAGACTGTAGCCTAATGTACTCTCAAATTGTCTCGGTGGATTCCCGCACAAACACACGGGGCCGGGAGAATTGTCTTTCATGTGGCCGTATTGCTCCCTAATACAATTACCTGCCAATAAGGCAGCTGGATGAGACGCTCTCGCTTGCTAGTCAGGCGGATCTTAGAGCAGGAATGAACTTAAAGTAGAGGTCCTCACTTTAATCCGACTGGCGGAGATAGGTGTTTCCGGAACTGTGGTCTACGTGGGGACATCTTGCACATTTGGTGGTCGTGCCCCACGATTGATAGGCTTCTGGTCTAGGGTTTTTGGTTTGCTGCAAACGTTATTTCATATTACGGTCCGTAGGGATGCAAGGGTGGTCCTCCTGCATTGCCCAGTTTTGGGTCTGTCTAGGGCTCAGCAGAAATTGGCATCCTACCTATTTATTTCAGCCAAACGTGCCATAGCTCAAGCCTGGAGAACCCCTTCGGTCGTCTTCCAGGGGGTGAAGACCCGGATGAATGCTGTGCTGATCAATGAACAGATGTCTAGTGTTCTTCAAGATTCTCATCCGAGATTCCTTAACCACTTCCAGTCCGGACACTTTTACCCCCTTCCTGACCAGGGCAATTTTCAGCTTTCAGCGCTATCACACTTTGAATGACAATTGCGCAGTCATGCAACGCTGTACCCAAACTAATTTTTTACCATTTTTTTGAGACAGATAAAGCTTTATTTTGGTGGTATTTATTCACCGCTGGGATTTTTATTTTTTTTGCTATGTAAATGAAAAGTCCAAAAATTTTGAACAAAAGTGTTTTTTTTATAAAATTTTGCAAATAAATAATATTTCATCATAAATCTTTGCCAAAATTTATTCTGTTATCTTTTTAGTAAACAACAAAAAAATTAGTTTATAACCAAAAATTATAATTTTTAAACATTTTTTTTTACATTTTATTTTTATTTTTTTATATTACTATTTTTTATTTATTTTTTTTTTTTTACATACTGTCACCCTAGCAGTACAGTGTCACCATGGTGACACTGTACTACTTGTGGGGGGTGATGAAGATTTTTTTTTTTTTTTTTACACTGATTGCTTTTACACCCATATAGGATGTAAAAGCAATCATTTCTCTTTCTCTCTGTGTGCATTCCTGCACTCATTGAGAAGTACTGAGTGAGCTGTGATTGGTCACAGCTTGTCACATGGTACAAGGCTGTTGTGAATAGCCTTGTACCATATGACCTCTGTGATCATTCACAGATTTCACACATAGTAAGCAGTGATGTCAGAAGTGACATCTTGCTTACTACTTTGCATGTGATCACTGATTGGCCAATCAGTGATCACATGATCGGGACCTCGTACAGAGGTCCCGTCCGACGATCGGTGTTTCACTGTGTCCGGAGGACACAGCGGGCACCGGATCGCGGTGCTGCACGCTCCCAGGGAGCGCGCACAAGCAGGGTGTGGGGAGGCCGTTCATGGAACCTTGGATACGTTATTCCCTGCCATCCCTGCCTCCTACTAGTTATGGCCTCTTATAGTCGCCCTGAATCTGTGACTCTTCTAGTTTTATTTTCTTCCATGTTTTTTCTCTGAATCTTTCTTTTTTTTTCCTTATTTTTTTCTATGTTTTTATTTTTCTTTTTCCTTTTTTCTCAGTTTTTAATACGATGGATTGCTGCTGCTACTATTTGGTTCGGCTTTTTTCCGTCCCTCCTTGATGTCATTGGACGTTCTGTTATTTGGCTAATACAAGTCAGCAGGATGTATCTGTTCATGTATGTTATTGTTCTGCTCTGCCCTTGCGTGGGCATATCTTGAGCTTGTTTTATTATTAAAACTAAAACTTTCTTAATAAAAATATTGAAATAGAAAAGTAGAGTTCCTCTACAAATACAAATGACCTCACCATAGCAGTTTGCATGCACTTGCCTTTTTTTTTTTTTTTTTTTTCTTACTATGAGCTGCAGTAAAATCTGCATATTAAGTAAGCCTATTAATGGAATTAGCTTGTCTAGCTAGAACTGCCACTTAGAGGAGGCCTTGCCTTACAATGCAATTTTATGTTAAGTGCATGCTAAGTAATGTCCAAGTGCAATACGTATCTCTCAGAGCTCATAGTACATCTTGTGGCAAAGATTTCATCTTCCGTTCTTACCAGGTGACCTGTGCCATCTTTGTTGAGGTATTGTCAAGCTCAATTTCATTGCGGTCCTCATCAGCATTATGGTTGGCCCTCAGAGGGCCCAGTTGCCTCTTTAGGACTAGATGTCCAGAACGCCCCGCCCCCCCATACATCAGATGTGAACAGCCCCCCCACCATCATAAGTCAAGAGTCTCCACCCTCCCTTACATCGGAGTGCACAACCCTTACCTTTTGCTGCTGCTGGGAAGAAGCTGGGGGTGCTGCTGTGAAGCATAAAGTGCAGGGTCTGGAGGAGGACCAGAGGAGGGCTGGAGTCAACTGCCAGAGTCTGTTGAATACTGAGATGAGGGTGTGCTGCAGCTGCACAGAGAGGCACAGGATCTGTAGGAGGAGTTCTGTCCTCCTCTCTGCTGACTGACTACTATGAAAGGGGGGCAGAGATGAGCCTGTACACTGCTGCAGCTGGAGTTCTCTCCTCCTTTCTACTGCTAACTACAGAGATAAGGTGAAAGTGTGTCCACAGCCACCCCTCTGTCCAAGTATGCCACGTCCACAGCCACCCCTCTGTCCAAGTATACCACGTCCACAGCCACCCCTCTGTCCTAGTATACCATGTCCACAGCCCCCTCTGTCCAAGTATACCACGTCCACAGCCACCCCTCTGTCCAAGTATATATCCACAGCCATGTCTACCACTGCCACCCCTCTGTCCAAGTACGTACCACCCTTCTGTCCAAGTATGCCAGTCTACCACCCCTCTGTCCAAGTATACCACGCCCACAGCCACCCCTCTGTCCAAGTATACCATGTCCACTGCCACCCCTCTGTCCAAGTATACCACGTCCACAGCCACCCCTCTGTCCAAGTATACCACGTCCACCGCCACCCCTCTGTCCAAGTATACCACGTCCACAGCCACCCCTCTGTCCAGGTATACCACGTCCACAGCCATCCCTCTGTCCAAGTATACCACGTCCACCGCCAGCCCTCTGTCCAAGTATACCACGTCCACAGCCACCCCTCTGTCCAAGTATACCACGTCCACAGCCACCCCCCCTCTGTCCCAAGTATACCACATCCACAGCCACTCCTCTGTCCAAGTATACCACGGCCATCCCTCTGTCCAAGTATACCACGTCCACAGCCACCCCTTTGTCCAAGTATACCACGTCCACAGCCACCCCTCTGTCCAAGTATACCACGTCCACCGCCACCCCTCTGTCCAAGTATACCACGGCCACCCCTCTGTCCAAGTATACCACGTCCACCGCCACCCCTCTGTCCAAAGTTTGGCTCACCTCCTCAAATCAGATTTGTTTGACAACTTCTGTCTTTCATGAATCCATGCTGTCTGTTGCTTACAATATTTATTTTCCAGCAAGAACTCCTCTATGTGGTCTTTTATTAAACTCTCCGGTATCTCCCCAACTATAGGTCTATAGTTACTTGGTAAAGAAATATAGGCACCACATTGGGCTTGTTCAAGCCTCTTCCTGCTACATTGCCAAGGATGTTACCTATTTCCCCGGAGAAGGTGCTGTGATCTCTTTTGGAATTGTGTACCTCAAGGACTTCTATGCTAAAAGTGTGGATGACAGCTGATGGATACCCTGAAAACAATCTAAAAGGATCAACTGTAACTAGCTGTTATAATTCTATGGAGTGTCCCACAGTCAAGCCTGTACCGGGGTGGACTGACAACTCATGGGGCCCCCAGGCAATAGGGAATCATGGGGCCCCTGTGTCCTTACCCAAACTCAAAAAAGCCTATGAAAAAGGTACCAGGGGCATCTCATTGGGCCCCCTACTGACCCTGGGCCCTTGGGCAGTGCCCGAGTTTCCAAATGGTCAGTCCACCCCTGGGTAGATGTCAGTCTGGCACAGGGGCGGACTGACAACTCATGGGGTCCCCGGGCAATAGGGGATCATGGGGCCCCTGTGTCCTTGCCCAAACTTAAAAAAGCCTATAAAAAAGGTACCAGGGGCATCTCATAGAGCCCCCTACTGACCCCGGGCCCTCAGGCAGTGCCCGAGTTTCCAAATGGTCAGTCCGCCCCTGGGTAGATGTCAGTCTGGCACAGGGGCGGACTGAAAACTCATGGGCCCCCCGGGCAATAGGGGATCATGGGGCCCCTGTGTCCTTGCCCAAACTCAAAAAAGCCTATAAAAAAGGTACCAGGGGCATCTCATAGAGCCCCCTACTGACCCCGGGCCCTCGGGCAGTGCCCGAGTTTCCAAATGGTCAGTCCGCCCCTGGGTAGATGTCAGTCTGGCACAGGGGCGGACTGACAACTCATGGGGTCCCCGGGCAATAGGGGATTATGGGGCCCCTGTGTCCTTGCCCAAACTTAAAAAAAGCCTATAAAAAAGGTACCAGGGGCATCTCATAGAGCCCCCTACTGACCCCGGGCCCTCGGGCAGTGCCCGAGTTTCCAAATGGTCAGTCCGCCCCTGGGTAGATGTCAGTCTGGCACAGGGGCGGACTGAAAACTCATGGGCCCCCCGGGCAATAGGGGATCATGGGGCCCCTGTGTCCTTGCCCAAACTCAAAAAGCCTATGAAAAAGGTACCAGGAGCATCTCATGGGGCCCCCTACTGACCCCGGGCCCTCGGGCAGTGCCCGAGTTTCCAAATGGTCAGTCCGCCCCTGTACATAACACAATGTAAAGCCTGAGTTTGTCTGGGTCAACATCCTTCATCCTACGACTCTGCCTGATACCCCATTTCATCCGGGAGGGGGGACCCCGTGATAGATCTAATGGAAATGAGTTGAGTCTACAATTCATTGGACTAATCATACACACAGGCATTCATCTTCACTATGCAAGATCTATTATTGCTGAGGACAGCAGAGAGGGTTGTTGTGATAATTAGCTAAAGTTTGCTTTTGATGTTGGTATTTGCCGGCAATAATAATGCAAGCTTAAATTATGCAATAATTATGTACTATTAAATTACCCCGGTTTTAGATCTACCTAGCAAAACTCCAAGCAATTGTATCAGTGGTTAATTGGCTGGTGGAGGTTAATTTGGAAGTGGAAATGATGTAATATACAAGTTGAACATGTTCTTAGTAAACTATTATGGGATGCTGTAAAGAGCTAATGTAATTGCTATATCTATATACTAAACAATGCAGAAGCTCTTAATGGAATCACGTTTCTGTAGTTCAAAACACATACCTTACAATTACCAAGAAAGTGGTGTATATTCATACATATTAATACGTTGGGTCTCAGTGTAAGAAGAACTTTTTTTTTTAACCTCCTTGGCGGTATGATTCTTTCCGATTTTTTGTGCTGAAAGCGGTACCATTTTTTTGCATGGAAATTTTTAGGAATAACTCCCTGAAATCTGTCCGAACAAGAGTCTAGTAAACATCCCGGGGATGATAAAATTTGAAACACGAAATCATCAATTATAATTTAATAAATAATCATAAAAAATAATAATATAATAATAATAAATTTAATTCAATAATATAATCAAACCAAAAACACTGAAATTTGAAATACAGAGGATAATTTGCACATCGCTGAGCTCAGTCGCAGAATCGTTTTCAGTGTCTGATGAGGAATTTCCCCCACCAATCATTATCACTCAATTCTGCAAGTGGTTCTGATTTACTATCGCTGTTCTCTAGCCGGTCTAAAACCGCGTCTGACCTAAAGGGACGCTTTTTGGACGCCATGGACTTTTCTCAGTTTCCAGGCAGAAAGAACAGTCAAAATGCAGGTAGGGCGCCGGACAAAGCAGTGGGGACAAAATATATGTGAAATGCATTGAAACAGCAATGACAGCAAAAATGACATTTTTTAAAAATTTCAAATTTCCCGACGGTTCCGGCGCCCGTACGTCCCGACGTCACGGGGACCGGAACACAGAAGCCGGATGCCGGCATCGGCCGGAGGAGATGGTCGGGGACGCTGCAGGGGACACATCGCGGGAGCGAAGGACAAGGTAAGTGCTGCAGGGACCCCCAGAGTAACGCCACATGGTAAGCCCGAGTCTAGCTCGGGGTTACCGCTGTTGGTATAGAAATTTTACCCCGAGCTACACTCGGGAACACCGCTAAGGAGGTTAAAATAAAGTAAGCAAGTTGAATACTATTGACTCCTATTGTACATCCTATTTCAGGTGGACTTCAACAAATCTTCACATTGTGTAAAACCAGGGCTTTTTTTCAGCGGGAGCGCGGAGGAACAGCATTTTTTCTTGCACATGATTGGATGATGGAAGTCAGCAGAACTTCTCCTCATTTACTAAGCTCTGGAGCAACTGCACTTGTAGAGTACACAATCTATTTTCCTTTAGTAAATGAACCCCCCATGGTTTCACTACTTTCCCCAGTCATATGCATAAAGTCAGTCTTTCATTTTTGGTGTGGTTCCTGCAAAGGATTCTGCAGAACTTTGCAATATGCAGACAGTTTGATGCAGGCCCATCCAGCAAGTGCAGTAAAAGAGCTTACCTTGATATCTACAGGATAGAAGCAGGTAGGTGTAATCAAGTAAGGAAGGATGCAGTCCTTTGCTTGCTGTCATCCAGCCCCTGGGGCATTATTCCCCCTATTGTCAGCAACAGTGGAGCATAGTTCCTGCCATTGACACCGATAATGGGGCACTAGTTCTCTAGCTGACAAAAACTATAGGGGACTATTCCTCCCATTGATACTAATGATGGGGCACTATTCCTTTTATTGACACCAATGACGGTGCACTATTTCTCCAACTGATACTAATGATAGGGCATTATTCCTCCCATTGATAACAATGGGATTCCTCCCACTGAACCAATGATGGGACACTATTCCTCCCACTGACACCAATGATGGTGCACTATTCTTCCCACTGATGCTGATTATGGGGCACTATTCCTCCCACTGACACCAATGATGGTGCACTATTCCTTCCACTGATGCTGATGATGGGGCACTATTCCTCCCACTGATTCCTTGATACCAAGGGCACTATTCCTCCCACTGACACCAATGATGGGGTACTATTCCTCCCACTGATTGGGGCACTATTCCTCCACTGATACCAAGATGGGCACTATTCCTCCCACTGACACCAATGATGGGGCACTATTCCTCCCACTGACACCAATGATGGGGCACTATTCCTCCCACTGATACCAAGATGGATGGGGCACTATTCCTCCCACTGACACCAATGATGGGGTACTATTCCTCCCACTGATACCAATGATGGGGCACTATTCCTCCCACTGATACCAACTGATGGGCACTATTCCTCCCACTGACACCTATTCCTCCCATGATGATGGGGCACTATTCCTAGATGATGGGGCACTATTCCTAAAGAAAGGTTTACCTAATAAAGTGGCCGGTGAGTGTATCTTGCACGTGTGGTGCACTTTCTGAAATTGCACCAAAACTTCTACATTCAGTTTGAGGTGGCGGGCCATGTCAGAGGGCTTCGAGTGCCACATGTGGTCCACAGGCCACAGGTTGAGCACTCTTGCCCTACTTCATGGGATTTTAAGTCTTCCCTACTCTAAAACTATAAAAAAAGAAGGTTGAGTTCAGGGCCGGACTGACCATTTGGAAACTTGGGCACTGCCCAAGGGCCCGGGGTCAGTAGGGGGCCCCATGAGATGCCCCTGGTACCTTTTTCATAGGCTTTTTTTAGTTTGGGCAAGGACACAGGGACCCATGATCCCCTATTGCCCGGGGGCCCCATGAGTTGTCAGTCCGCCCCTGGTTGAGTTTTACTTACACTTGGTGAACTGCACAGGTAATGCAATGGTAGTTTTCCAAATAAAGCAGATAGATGGGGCCTCCAAAAGTGGATCCTAGATTTAATAATTTGAAGCCGCATACGGCTTGGCTGAAGCCGGTACAAACAAACACCATATGATCTGTGCCGAGGGTAATGAGATGTTTCCATACAGCCCAGACTGAACACGCCAACTGGCAGTTGTAAGTAACTCAAGTAGATGATCTCGCCTTCATTGTTACATGTGTGTCCTGGATGTTCCTGGCATTAAAAAGGTTTTTCAGTGAACTCCAGTGGGGACAGATCTATTTAACATGCCGCTAACATGAGGTCAGCTCTGGTCCTATAAAAGATTATCCAGTTAGGTTAACAGAGAAAGACGACTTACTGAAGTTCAAACTGAGCAACAGAATCAGGAAGAAAGGGGATTTAAATGACTTTGAACGTGGCATGTTTGTTGGCGCCAGACGGGCTGGTCTGAGTATTTCGAAAACTGCTGATCTACTGGGATTTTCCCACACAACCATCTCTAAGGTTTACAGAGAATGGTCCAAAAAAGAAAAAATATCCAACGAGAGGCAGTTGTGTGGAGGAAAATGCCTTGTTGATGTCAGAGAAGAATGGGCAGACGGGTTCCAGATGATAGAAAGGCAACAGTAACTCATGTCAATATGGACCAAAACCTCTGAGGAATGTTTCCAACATCTTCCGTCAAAAAAGAATCTAACCCAATTCTGAAGGCAAAAAGTGGGGTCTAATCCCAGTACTTTCTAGAAAGGGCACCAAAACGGGCATTCAGTTTAGGGGGCCCATGAGATGCCCCTGAGTGCCACCTTTTCCATAGGCTTTTGTTGAGCATTTGCCCTAGCAAGGAGACAAGTCTTCCCATGATCTAAAACTATAAAAAAAGGGGGATCAGACCATGAGCTACCCCTGTCGTGCCGACCCTGGTTTCAGGTTTTACTTACACTTGGTGAACTGCACAGGTAATGCAATGGTAGTTTTCCAAATAAAGCAGATAGATTGGGCCTCCAAAAGTGGATCCTAGATTTAATCTCTTGAAGCCCGCATACGGCTTGGCTGAAGCCGGTACAAACAAACACCATATGATCTGTGCCTTGGGTAATGAGATGTTTCCATACAGCCCGGACTGAACACGCCAACTGGCAGTTGTAAGTAACTCAAGTAGATGATCTCGCCTTCATTGTTACATGCGTGTCCTGGATGTTCCTGGCATTGAAAAGGTTTTTCAGTGAACTCCAGTGGGGACAGATCTATTTAACATGCCGCTAACATGAGGTCAGCTCTGGTCCTATAAAAGATTATCTAGTTAGGTTAACAGAGAAAGACGACTTGTTACTGAAGTTCAAACTGAGCAACAGAATCAGGAAGAAAGGGGATTTAAATGACTTTGAACGTGGCATGTTTGTTGGCGCCAGACGGGCTGGTCTGAGTATTTCGAAAACTGCTGATCTACTGGGATTTTCCCACACAACCATCTCTAAGGTTTACTAGAGAATGGTTTCCTAAAAAGTGGAAAAAATATCCAAGGTGAGGCACTTGTGTGAAATTGAAAACGCATTGTTTGAGTGGCAGAGATGTCAATGGGCTACGAGTGCCAGATGTGGAAAGGCAACAGAACTCATGTCACTCTATGGCCAAAACCTCATGGGATTTTAAGTTTCCAACTCTTGTCGAAAATTGAAGGTTGAATTCTGAAGGACTGAAAAAGGGGAAACCGGGTACTGCCCGAGGGCCCGGGGTCAGTAGGGGGCCCCATAAGATGCCCCTGGTACCTTTTTCATAGGCTTTTTTGAGTTTGAGCAAGGACACAAGGGGCCCCATGATCCCCTATTGCCCGGGGGCCCCATGAGTTGTCAGTCCGCCCCTGGT